TTTTTGTTGTTGTGGGGCCTGAACTCTGGGCCTGGGCACTGTCCCTCAGCTCTTCAGCTCAAGGCTAGTGCGCTACCACTTGAGCCACAGCATCACTTCCAGCTTCTTCTGCTTATGTGGTGCTGAGGAATGGAAGCCAGGGCCTTGTGCATGGAAGGCAAGCACTCTACCACTGAGCCACCTTCCCAGCCCCATAAGATTCTTATTTCTAACCACCATAAAACTAGAAGTAGAGCTGTGGCTCAAAGTGGTAGAGCACAAAAGCTCATGGACAGCACCCAGACCCTGAGTTCAAGCCCAATAAACAACCAAAAAACCCCAAAACAGCCCAACAAATTAGAATTTCTTATCTTCTCTTCTAACATTTAGATGGACCTTTCTTCCTCTACGCCAGAGTTTGTGCTTGGGAAGTAGGAAAATAGAAATGAGATCATCTTTACCCTCAGAGACACTAGTTTGCTAGTTTCACGGAATCTCTCTCTCTGCTAAAGGTATGAATAAAATTACAAGAATAGAAGGAAGAAGATAAGGATTCAATTGTTTTTTTCTTGCAATTGTTTCTAACATATTTATAAGATGATTTTTTTGTTGCTTTATATGTCCCTCCCCCACAGTAAGACCCCTGTTTTCACTGTATTTGATGTTGGTATACTTTGTGGAGGGGAAGGGAAAAAACAAATTGTTTAAATAGGGATACAGGTGGACCTATTGCAACAATGAGATGTATAAGACGCTATGTTGAAAATGAACTTTACAACTTTGGCGGGGGTAGTGGTGGTGGTGGTAATGGTGGAGGAGATGGAAGGGATGGGAAGGGGAAACAAAGGAGGAGGCAACAATGCTTGATAAGAAATGTACTCATTGCCTTGCTCATGCAATTGTAACCTCTCTATATTTTCACAATAAAAAAAAGAATAGAAGGAAGGAAACAAACAAAAGCAGAGTTAAGGAGATAAGAGATAGCTTGAGTCTGTGACTTCAAATTTTGGAAAAAGGATTAATATTTTTTACTGAAAGTATGTTAAACATGAAAACAATACATAATGCTCTTACTCTTAGAATGGTCTAGTAAGATGAAATAATGGATGAAAAATGCTTAATCATAATTATGACAAAATAAATGTTACTATTATAAGCATTTAATTCAATAATATTAAGCACGTGGTTGGAACACATGGTAAAATGTAAGAATTTTTCTTACTAGGAACTAGTGGCTTACATCTGTAATACTATTCAAGAGGCTGAGATCTGAGGATTGCGGTTCAAAGCCAGCTTAGGCAGGAAAGTCTGTGAGAATCTTACCTTCAATGAATTACTAAGAGAGCCTGAAGTAGAGCTGGGGCTCAAATGGTAGAGCACTAACCTTGAGCAAAAAAAAGCTCAGGACAGCACCTAGACCTTGAGTTCAAGCTCGCAAACTGGCACGCACGCATATGTATGTACTTACAGACACACAGGAAATTTTCTTTTTTCTTTTTCCCTTTTTGTCAGTCGTGGGACTTGAACTCTGGGCCTGGGCGCTATCCCTCAGCTCTTCAGCTCAAGGCTAGCACTCTACTACTTGAGTCACAGTGCCATTCTGGTTTTCTGGCAGTTCACTGGAGATAGGAATCTCATGGTCTTTCCTGCCCGGGCTGGCTTTGAACCGCAATCCTCAGATCTCAGCCTCCTGAGTAGCTAGGATTACAGGCGTGAGCCACCAGCACCTGGCTACACGAATTTTTTTTTTT